ACGTCTTGCAAGTCAAACGCTGTTAATTTATATACCGTCGAAGTAAACAATTTAATCAAGTATTTTAAGTATTTTACCTTTTGAGAAGAAGATATATTCTTGAATGGAGACTTTTTACCTTGCTTAGTTTAAAATTGGTCCAAAAATCCCGAGATATTTGTAAAATATCATCATATACAGGTATTTTGAAATATAATATTGTTGTTCAGATCAACAACTTCAGATCATTGTTCAATATTGTCTACTTTTAATAGCGCAAACATACAAATCGATGAGCTGTTTAGTGATTTTATATTTGTTACTAAATTTCCCAAAATTAGAACTTCAATTGACAATTGTTGTTTTGTTCCAGTTTGCATTGATCCATATAATGTACCATTTAGTATTTACATATCGACTATCAAGTATAAATGTTTACGAATACATAAGTTAATTATTAAGCAGCTGTTAATAGCGTGCGTGTGAAATGAACATTTATCCATACAAGGATTTGTTATTTTATTATATATTCTACCACCTCAAACTCAAATTATAGGCATATAGCAAATACTGTAGTTTAGAATAATGTGTGTTTACTTTGATGCACATGAGTTAAAATAATCAGTAAATTACTTTATTTTGATACACTAATGTCTATTGATCTTATTATATTTCACAAGTACTAGTACCCAGAAATACAGCATTGAGTATTTTGGCCCAGTGCGACATCACAAATTATTATTGTCTCCCCATACGTCGCGTTTAAAGAAAATGAAAGCTTGTTGCTCGTTTAACGCCGGATTAACCACGTGCCAAATACGGCAAATGCCATGGGCCTCGCGCTTTACTGTGCTACGCCCAGTTTTACTAGAACACGGCCATTTTCTATTGGGATACACCCATTTTAGGTGCCTCGTGAATTTAGGGACCTCGCGCATTTAGGGCCCCTAGGCTTGGCAGTTCGCCCTAGCACGGCCCCGGGAAAATATGCAATACTCGTGTTCATATAATCTTTAGTTGCGTTGAGCTGTTATATTATGATCCTGTTTATACCCACCAACTGCGCCAGGCAGGCCATTATCTCGTTTATAATTGATGCAAATAAATTGAAATATTGAAAAAAATTGTTTAACACTTTTGTATGTCTTTAAATTGAATGGTTTTCATAAAAAGAAGAAAGGGGGAGGTTTGGGGGCCTCGCGCTAAAATTTGCCACGGGCCTCGCGCGACGTTAATCCGGCCCTGGTCACTTGTCGGTAGTTCTTGCGGTTTTAATGCCAATTGACAAAGATCAAAAGAGAGCACTGATGACTCCCCCCGTCGGAGAAATACTGGCGCAGCCCAAACCAGCTCAGTGAATGTGGGTTTATTATGGGGCCCCAGGGCCAATTATACCCTTGGGGCCCCAGTGAACCACAATTACCCCCCTCCGTCGACAAACTTTTTATCGCCTTGCAAATTTGTATTTGCCTGTCTTCCTTGAGCTGGGGTCGCGGAGAAAATTGCTCCCTTTGCCGCCTCCCTGCATGGGCGGCCCTGGCGCCGCCCTTGTCTTATCATAACTATCTATCCTAATTCAAGCTGATTGGCGCGGCTCGATGAATTAATTGCCGCTTTCAAACAGAGGTTTATTATTTTAAACCTCTAGAACCAATTCTAAACCTCTAGAACGCGTCTACTATCGTCAAGAAACAATCAATACGTATAATCGTTGTTGTCTGTGGGATTTTAATTCAATAGTGTAAACCTTGCAGTTTTAGGGAAGGCTCACATATCTATTTTTCCACAAAAAACGTCATATGTTCGTTTTGGGGGTGGGGGAGGGGGTTTACAGCTGTGACGTTTCTCTGTAAATATCATGGAAAAGTTCGATAGTTTTTTCGAATACCTTAACATTTCGGAATCAACTTTGCAGAGTATAAAAAAGAAAACAACTTGAAAGAAAACGACTATTCACAAATATAAGGGCGGTAAACTAAAATAAAAACTCCTTATATGGATAAACATTATAAACGTTCATCTCACATGTACACGCATGCTAACAGCTGCTTAATAATTAACTTACGTATTTGTAAACATCAGTCGATAAATAAAATGGTACATTAATAAGGACAAAATGGATCAAAACCTCTGAAAACAGCAGTTGTAGTTCCAATTCTTTTGGGGAATTTATTAGCAAATATAATCCTTAAATAGCTCATCGATTTGTATATGTTAGCGCTATTAAAAGTCAAACGGCCGGGTCGGCGGGTCGTAGATCACGTTGAATAATGATCTGAAGTTATCATGCAACCGTCAACAATGTCTCAAAATACTGGATGTTTGATGATTTTTTTACAAATATACTGGGATTTCTGGACCACTTTTAAACTAAGCAAAGTAAAAAGTCCCCATTCAAGAATATGTTTTTTCTCAAAAGGTAAAATACTTAGAATACTTGATTAAATTGTTTACTTCGACGGTGTATAAATTAACAGCGTTTGACTTGCAAGACGTCAAAAACGGAAGATTTCAACGCGCTGTCGTTTATCGCGTATTCATTTGCCAAAAGAAGTATTTACGTCAATTGAAAGCTTCTTTATTAAAGAGCCAACTAGTAGAAGCATGATCGATTTGGAGCTTTATAGCATGGTGAAAATCGATTTTGTTAAGAGGGTATCGCAAATGAAGTAAGATAGTGTGCTCCAAAGCTACGATTATTTCTATTCCTAAGAGTAACTCAGATTTCCTGTAAGTCATGTACACAGTCCTTTGAATAACCGAAAACAAGATTTTTAGGGTTCTAGATCGATTAGAAACGGTTGTCGTCGTGAAATTTATCTGTAAAATCAGCGCATATTTTCCCAGAAAAAATGGCGATTTAGGGTGGTCATGTTAAAACGGCATTTTCTCAAAGTTAAAAAATCATTTGACCTAAAAAAATATATGGTGCATTTTCCGATATAATAAGGTATATCTGGGCAAAATTTGAGCAAAATCGACTTTTCAGTCGTGGCCGCGAAATGTCTCATATGTTCGATTTTTACTGACATTCACTCTTAAGCATTTTCGGTATTATCTGTTAGGAGCACAAGTAGTGATGAGGACCGACCACAAACCTCTTCTAAAGATCCTGGAACAGAAAGATCCATTTGGACGAAGAGCGACATTGATGAGAGATAACCGTTTCCTCAAACGTTTTGCTAATAATAGAGATATCAGCCATGTACAATGCTAACCGATGTGGTGCAATGTGTCCTAGAACCTTCTGCATCAACCGAGAAAAAGTTGGCGGACTTCCTTTTAAACCATATGGCATTCTTGTCCATTCCCAAAACCCAGTAGGTGTTCGAAACGCTGTCTTTGGTCTATCTTCCTTGGCCAGTGGGACCTGCAAATAACCTTGGGCCAAGTCAATAACACTAAAATAGTTAGCACCTGATAGATTGTCTAGAACCTCTTGCAAATTTCCAGTTGGATATGGGTCATTCTGGGTAATTTTGTTAAGTGGTCTGTAGTCTACACACAATCGAACTGTTTTATCTGGTTTCAATACAGGTACAATTGGAAATGCCCAAGGGGACTTAGAGGGTGTCAAATGTCCCGACTTTACATGGTTTCCTACTGCTTCATTAATTTTTTGTGTTAACCCCAGGTTGTGTCGTCTGGGGTGGCACACAATTGGATCAGATACGGCTGTGGGTATTGTGTGCTCTATTGTTGTGGTGAACCCACTGTTTCCTGGGTAGTCGAAAACTTGTGTATTTTTTTGAATTAAAACTTCTAGGTTTTCTCTTTGTTGTGTTGTCAATTGTTCACCAACAGATACTTCTGGGACCGGGTCATATTGTGATGATAGATTATTTCCCCCCCATATTTGACTCTGAAATATGTGTTATGTTGTGGGTACTTGGCAGTTCCTGAATTGTGGCCGCAGTTTGTTCTCTATAAACTCTGATTGATTTATCAGTAGTATTCAGTACGCATTTGGGGAATTTATTTTCATCGTTCATCATTTCTGCCGAAATCTTTATCGGGGCTGTAAGAAGCCCAGTTCTCTGCTGAAAATGTTCCGTACCTTCGATATACGAATCTCTAGTAAATTTTTCATTCTTATCTTCCAATTTACCCCAAATGAATATTTCTTCAAATGGCTTAATATCACGACTTTCCGCAACTCGTATGTGGCAACACTTTAGCATTTCCTGAGGGGTATCTACTTCCGGTTGTAACACGGGTTGGGCCCCTTCTATTGTTGCCAATTTTTTTCTTGTGTCAACGATACACCCAATTTTCCCAAAGAGTCTAGGCCCAGATTCCCGTTTTGAACACCACTTACCACAAAAAAACTCAATATACAACTATTTGTCCTTACCGTAACTGATGTTTGAACCACACCTCTGTATTCTGCGTGTGTTATTAGCCATCTCTACGTGACGTGTAGTTGGTTAAATTTTCATGTAATGTTCTCGTGCTAACGACGTTGGAATAACTGAAATCTCTGCTCCAGAATCACAAATAAACTCATGCTTGAACTCTCTGCTTCCTGACTGAACCACTGTACCATGCAGTTAGTGTAATAAATTTCTTCGCGGCTGAGAACGAATTTATTTTTGCTGACGATTGTTCCCAGCCGCCTTGGAGTTTAAAGACGGCGAAGGGCGAGGGCTTGGAGCATGGCAAGATGATGCTGTATGGCCTATTTGCCAACAGCGTTGACAAAGTTCTTTAAATGGACAGTCGAAAATGTTCAGGCGACTGGCAGTGGAAACACGCTTGATTTTTACCGGTTTTTCCACTCCTAGGTTTTGGCGGGAAATTTTCCTTTCCAACGAACCCGACCGTATGTTTTGTTTCGTCCTCCGTTTCCCGACTTCCATCGTTTTCTTTCGATAGGGCGGCTGCTACCTCTTCTCTGATTATTTTTCTTAACGATATTTCGTCTGCTTCCCCTGTCGTTTTGAAATTGTTTACTTCGAGGTTTACTTTTGGCGCTGTTGTTTTATCAATTAGCTCGAGCCGATCTAATTCTTCAGAAAGTTGTGTTAAATTTAAATCTCGATGTTTACTGTCGCTCTTTATCTTTCGACTCATTGCATTGTCAATAGCTCCCAAAAAGGTATCATGTAACATTTGTTCCTTTGTTTTCTTTGCCGATCCGTGTGTTGACGCGCATAACTCCGGGTAAGCCTTCGCCATCAACTTTTCGATTCTCCACGCTAACTGTGCTGGTGTTTCACCGCCTGTTCGCCTTAAACCTCGTAATTCGTCGACAGCTTTCTCATGGTCGATCGATTCTTTGTCGAATTCCTTCCTTAAAGCGGCTTCAACTTCTTTTGGGTCATCTTGAAGTTCATAGTCTAATCTCGCAATACATAGAAACGCCGCCCCCTCGAGTTTACTTGCTATGGCGTGAGCTTCTTGCTTACCTTCAAATTTCTTTGTATAACAATAGAACTTCATTTTCATAAGCCACAAATCTACATCTCCCGTACCGTCATAACAGGCTTGTTTTATTTCTGCCATTTTCGACAATTTAAAGCGAGAATTACCGCTGCCACCACTGTAAATTTATATATTGTATTACTCCGAACACATGTACAATAATAGTCCTAGTCTTCAAGTTAATTATTAATCCCGAAGGTCCATGCCTAATAGCCTGCAAACAGGCTTGTTATTTATGAGTATCTATTTCAATGTAACTATAAAAATGTCAATATATCACATATACATATCCACAATAATTCAAGATTGTTTGTCAGTATATTTTGTGAACTAAGCAACATTCGAAGAAGTTGTAAGATTGTCGTTTTTCACGTAATAATTTCAAAAGTTTGTCAAAATAATGGAAACAAAATCTTTGTTGTCGGACTATGTTCGTTAAATATTGTTTCTCTGCGATTTTCAGGTAACTTCGGTCTATTTGATCAACGTTTGGCGATGAAATGGGTTAAAGAGAACATTGCATATTTTGGTGGAAATTCAAAATCAATCACCATATTTGGTGAGAGTGCTGGAGGTGCGAGTGTCTCAGCACATACGTTATCCAAAGGTAGCTGGGAGTTGTTTGACAGAGCTATTTTGCAAAGTGGAAACATACTTATGCCGTGGGCGATTATGACAGATTCTCAAATCCAAGATGAATTAAAATGGTTTCTAGGAAAAGTTAATTGCTACAATAATGAAAATTTACTGGAATGTCTACGAAATGTGGCTGAAGACAAATTGAAGAGCGTGGCGAATAGCAAAGAATTTTGGTCAATATGGACTGGTCCAAATGTTGATAGAGAATTCATTTCTGATAAACCAGAAAAAATATGGGAGAACGGAGACATAAAAAAACAAGATATAATTATTGGAACTACTAAAGATGAAATGTTTATGGGCCAGCAATATGTATTGGACAAGTCTACGGGCATAAGCTATTATTTGAAACATTTCGAGGAATTACTAAAGATGCATTTCAAGAATTCATCCAAAGCGGTGTATGAGACAGCGAGAGAATTGTACACACCGAAATGCATTTGTTCTTATTTGGAAGCGTTAAAACCGAGTGTAGCATTTGAATCAGATCAACTCATAATTTGTGGGAGCAGACAGGAGATTAAACTAAGATCTAAATTTGTGAATTCTACAAATGTTTATGTATTTCAATATTCTCATGCTCCATTGGTAGACTATATCCCTGAACTGTACCCTTATGGAGTATTTGGATTTGCTGCCCATGCACTCGATGTTGTGGTAAGAAATTCTGTTTTAATACACTGGCCGAAAGAACTAGTCAGTTAGTGACCTATTCAACTCAGCTTTAATGCAATACATGGCAGCAAGAATTATTTTCTAGTACGTTTGTTTGTAGATCTTTAGTTCAGGGGGGACCTTTACTTTACAGGGGAAGCATCATTGTTTGTGACTGCTGTCCTTAAAGCCTCTTTTCCATCCATTATAAGGCAATCTTACAAGTTCGCTTTGAATTACTGCGTCCAATCACAATGCTTGACAGTCACAGTTTACTTTGATAAAATGTGCGTATACTCGCAGAGGGCATGCATGCGAGTTGGTTTTTGCGATGAGTAGAAAAGACTCTTGATCCTTACACTAACCACCAACCGTACTTAGCTCATAAAAAGCGAGTACTTTACTCATTTTCAACAATTAATATCATGCATGTAGTAACTGATAATGATATTCCGTTGTATTTTAGTCAGTATTTGGTGTGCCAATAAATGATACGAAATTCCGGTTCGATGATCAAACACTCTCTATGAGAATGTTATTATATTGGACAAATTTTGCAAAAACCGGGTAAGTTTTAAAGTCTACTCCGATGGGCGTATTTTATCAAGGGTCACGGTTTAGCAAGCCATGCATAGAAGTTAAAAAACTGCCATTTAGCAATACCAACATAGTATTAGAGTATTACCTTTCACCACATAATTTCGATATTTATTTATTTACAGTATGCTTGGTTTCAATCTCATTTTCCGGCAAAAATTGCTAATTGACCGACGGGTTTTCCAAATTCCACGATCCCTTGGAGCAAAGACGATGACGAAAATTCCATTTCCAATCAATCTCGTACCCAGAGCATGCCTGTTCGCAGGACAGACTGCCCACCCTTAACCTGCCAAGTGCCAACGGTCATGCTCTGGGTACGAAGATTGATTTCTAGTTTTCCAATTTCTTGGCGAAAAAGATTTAATTCCATTTCATCCATTCACGACCTTTAAAAAGTGATCCTGTATGGTGCATAACAAAAGCAGATGGCAGAACAAATATCAAGTATCAAATGAGTTTAGTGAAGTATTAGTGAACATTTTGGAGCACCTTAATCGATAGAACAGATCAATATAGAAGGGTTTTTTTGCTGGATATTTCAAGCGAAAATTATATACATGCATTTTAGACCTGGATGAGAGATGCTGTGAAATGTTTTTAATGTTGTTAATAAGAAAACTACCGCAGTTTTTGTATAGCTAGATACCGATATAAGTGTTCATTGCAAGAAACCCCGTCACAAAAGTTGTGCTACCAAACACTCACTAATTCCACTTCTTTTATACAGAGATCCAAATTCAGGCACCAGAAAGTTACCTATTGTGGTAGACAATGTCGACACTTTACCGTTATGGCCTCAACATAGCGATAGTAATGAAGAATTTCTGGGCATGGAAAGTTTTTCTCAGATGACCGTAAGAACAAAATTACGTGAAAAACATTGTGAATTTTTAAATGATCCTGAAGGATTTATTGAAAAAACGACGGGTGATTCGACGTAAATATCATTACACCAAGGGCTTAGCTTAATACCATGGTTTCAATTGTTGTCATTTTTTATTTGGTCAACTGAACTTCATTTTATGGGGACGACGGTAAATATGTTGACTATTGACATAATTACAGTGGAACTTAAAGTGCCTGCAAGTGACACAAAATTTTATCCCAAAGGTTTATGGTTGCATTGTAAAGGTCACTTAAAATGACTTAATAATTTCTTTTATAGAATTTTCGTAACTTGTTCCCTTTTCAAGATATTCAACTTTGTTTCATATGCAAATATTACCGGTGTGACATCACATCACATCACATCACATCACATCACATAATGAGTTTTCAGAAAAGTATAGTTTTCTTGGCGAATACGTATCTAAAAAACTTAAAAATTGCCCTTGTATATGTATATGTATATGTATATGTATATGTATATGTACATGTACATGTATATATATATATATATATATATATATATATATATATATATATATATATATATATATATATATATATATATATATATATATATATATATGTATATGTATATGTATATGTATATGTATATGTATATGTATATGTATATGTATATGTATATGTATATGTATATGTATATGTATCGCCCAGTTACCCGCTAACATCATCAGTTGCTCTGAATGGTCATCGGTCAATAATATGAAGTTAAATGTATCTAAGACCAAAGAATTGCGTGTCTGCTTTTCTAAGTTTATTCCATCGTTCGCCTCTATTACCATCCGTGGTCAAGAGGTCGACGTCATTTCCGAGGCAACATTATATACAACATATCGAAGGTATCTTGTCTAACTTTGGTGAAATTACAGCTGGGATACCACAGGGGTCCATTTTGGGCCCACTGCTGTTCGTAATTTACATCAATGACCTTCCATCTGTTCTATCAAACTCTGAGATCCTAATGTACGCTGATGATACCGTGATATTCCGTGAGGGTACTGAAGTATGCAAAATTAAACAAGAACTGTCTGACGATTTGGAAAATGTAAATTTGTGGTTTAAAGATAATATGCTACATATGCATAATGATAAAACGAAATCTGTTCTATTTGGAACAGTTAAACGCCTTTCATTGAACGATGAGCTAAGAATTGACCTACAAGGAAAACCTATCAAAAACGCGACATACTATAAATATCTTGGTATAAATATCTTGTCTACTTAGATCGAGGTTTATCATTTATTGAACATATAAATCGCCTGAAGATGAAAGTAGCTAAACGGTTAGGTGCTACAACTACAAAAACTACAAACAAGAGCAGAAAAAATCATAAACATGTATCGGTCCTACAAACTAAACATCCACTGGCCTTCGCTAGTTTCTCGCAGGAAAATGCATACTGCGATTTTAGATTTTAAATGTTTAAGCAATAGAGTTCCATCTTTCTTACAAAACTATATTGACTTATGACTGACGAGAAACTGCGCGCATAAATGTAATATACCTAAAGTTAGGCCAAATAAAAAAAAAAGACTTGGTTAGCGTCACACTATCACAAATTTTCAGAGGCGGGCGGGCGGATTTTTTTTTAAATTTTTACTCGTTTTTTAATTTTTTAATAGTATTTTTGGAGGGGATGGGGGGCGGTTTTCCACCATATCGGTGATATTTTTTGTACTGAAGTTGCGAAGGCCGCCATTTTGCTTTAAGAACCTTGTATACACAAGCCTACGCGCTCCTATCGATCAGTATATAGCGCGAAGGTCTGAGCATGAGAAAAATTTCAAATATTAAACTGTTTTAAGCTGTAAAACGAAGATATTTACATAAAAAAAAATAAAAAAAAATTCAGAGGCGGCAGAAAATCGAGAGGCGGGCGGTGACGCTAACCAAGTATTTTTTTTTATTTGGCCTTAAACTGGTATTTGGCAGTAAGGGCTTTTATGTTAGAGGCCCACAAGTTTTTAACAGTTTGCCTTTGCGTATTCGGGAAGAAAACGTTTTCATAAACTTTAGGAAGAGAGAATGATCTTCCTAGCATAGATTATAGTAAATTGTACGATCATTAATTTATTATATTCTGTAAAATCTTCAAATAATCTCTTAAAAACAAATTTGTAACTAGTTAGTATTCAGGGCTCACATTGATACCAATTCTTCTGAACTGACGTGACTACCCTGACGAAATAATAAAGTTGATTTGATTTGATTTGATTATTGGGCGTTGTTCATTCAGGCGATCTTAAATGGAACCGCCATATTGACTACATTTGCAAGAAAGTCGCGAAGCGTTTGTATGGTCTGCGCTTTACCTTCTCATGTCCTGATCTCAACCTATTGCAAACATATTCGACCAATTGTGGAATATGCTTGTCAGGTGTGGCATTATGGCCTTCCTCATTACCAGAGTGATCATGTTGAAAAAAATAAAAAAAGGGCATTAATTAAAAAATATTTTTCCTGGAACTACCTATGCTGAGATGCTGAATGTTTGCTTAAAGCAAACTTAATGACTCTTCATGAACATAAAACAGTTCTTTGTAAGCGCCTTTTTTCGAAGATGTTGGAACCCACTCATAAACTGAATGCCTTAGTACCGCCTAAAAATCTTCAAACTTATGATCTGAGGTCTTATATATTCCAACCTATTAGTACCTACAATTCTGGCAAAAATTATGTGGACACCTAACTTTTCTAACGCCAATATTAACATTGAGACGTTCTTTCGTGAAGTTTGTCACCCCCTGCCCCCTATTCAATGTTGTTTCTCGCATTCAAATTTTAAAAGTTTCATTTAGCAACATTGAGTTGAAGGTAGGACGGGGAGAAATTTTCTGGCGGATTAATTATGTAGAAATATATCTATTTTTGTTTGACGCACGCGCTGTCCACGATAATTTTTGCCAGGATTAGTACCAAGGTGTAGAACTGAACGTCTTTCGAACAGTTTCATTGCTGCTGCGTCTAGTGCTTATAATAATAAGTAAACTTTAGTTTATTATCGTAATTGTTATCTAACTTACCTATTTTTACCTGTAAATATAGAATAGATTGAATATCTATGTTCTTATACCTTGTAATTCCAAAGTAATTCAGTTGTTACTGCTAGTTTGGAAATTTATAATAATAAAAATAATAATAATATAAAAACTTAACTATCTCGAAACGTACGAAACAAAGAGTGTTCATGAGTTACACGTTAACGTTACAGCAACGAGAGCCGATTGGAATTGAGTTGGCGGCGAAACTTGCTTGTGTTTCACCACCATTAGCCATTCCGAAGTTGATGGGTACCTGGGGGCGAGTGTTAAAAAGTGCTTAAATTAAGAAATAAACCAAATCACTAAAAAGGCTACCTCAAAAATGGTAAGTACACAAAGTTTGAAAAAGTTTACATAATTAACCTTTGAATACTAAGCTTTCGAAAATCGCGATATTTACTATGAAATGTGTTGTATGGCCATATAAAAAAAATAGTTGGTTAGCGTCCTCGCCCGCCCACAAAAAAGGCCCCGCTCAGGATTTTTTTTTATTTTTTATTTTAAAAAACCCCAACTTTTATTGATTAACGGGCTCTAATATACGTAATATTTCTGTTGCCTGTAGTCAATTATGTTAATAAATTGCGAAATTGCGTGCGAAAATGACGGTATGAAACATCTTTTGAAATATATAAAAAAATATCTGTACTGCGCAAGAAAATCCAGTTTCGGACCTAAAACCAAGGCATTAAAAATTAGTAAATATTAAAAAAAAGCGCCCGCCCGCTCACTTTTTGGCAAAAGCTAAGGACGCTAACCAACTAGTTTTTTTTATGTGGCCTAATTTTTGTTTTGGGAACGCGCGTCCCAAAAACAATCTTTTAATCAGTAATTTCACAATTTTCGAAAGCTTATTATTCGAAGGGTATTCATGTAAACGCCTTCAAACTTTTTACACTTACTAATTTTGAGGTGGTCTTTTTAGTTATTAGGTTCATTTTTTAATTTGGGCACTTTTTAACACTCGTCCCCAGTCCTCTCATCAACTTCGGCATGGGTAGTTGTCCAGCTCTCATTGACTCTCTTGCACACTCAACTTTTATCAGCTTTGAACTGGTTCATATTTTGATGAGATTTGATGAGTTTTCACTATGCGGGCGGTAAAATCCAATCAACTCTCTTCAACTCTCATGAAACTCTTGTTCTCGTTTGACAGGGACATGAGAGTTGAGAAAACCCTCAATGCAAACACTCCCTTCTCGACTCCTCTCATCAACTCACATTTTCGTTTGAGCGGGGCTTTACTATAGTATTACATGTTCTTTCCAATATGTCCGACAATAACAACACATATACTACAATAAGATATATAAAGATGATATTGCACATTGTCCTCTAATAAGAATGATATGTAAATAAAAGAATACATGGTTATGCCAAGCTAACAAATATCATTTTACACATGTGAAATTTGTGCACCATCATGTTAAATAAACTATCACTTTAGTTTAGGGCTGCCTCGTCCCCAGGCGCTAATAAAAACATTTCACATACGAGTCACTATATAAAAGGTTTACATGAAGTAGTGCATCGCGACGAACAAGCGCAGGGATTTATGGGCTTGAGGCAGCGAAAATTGAGGAGCGCCTGGGAGATCTTGTTTCGTTTCTTGAAACATTGGTCTGTTTCTTGCAAATCGTGGTTTTTCGCCAGTTTTTGCGGTTTTTTCGCCATTTTTTAGTAGACTGCGAGCGATCCCTCCTTTCCGCGGGTTTAGATTTCCGGGCATGCGAAAGGAAAGGAGGGACTGCCGACAACACAAACGAAATACGCAATGCCCACAAAACGATAAATTCCCATTGGTCGAAATCGATGCCCCTATCAATCAAATTTGTAGCCTGTGTACAGCCGTTACTCTCGACGAAACGCGCGAGAGAACGTCTGTGAGTTGGATGCATAATCCTTGTTCAGGTCGCGTGGATAGTTCCCAGATTTGGGGACCGACCTCTGATTGGACAGTGCTTTACTTGAATAATTTATGACAAATGAAGCTATTTCATTAGTTAATTGATAATTAGCATGCGTTTAAAATAACAACACAAAAATTTTAAAATTCCAGATCAAGAATCAAGATTTCCTTCGGGGCATACAAAGGTTTGAAAGGCTAGAAATATAATCTGTTGAGTTTAATTTTGTGCTGTATCGAAGTTTAAGAAAATTAAGATAAAATTCTAGTGTTTGGACACTCAGCGAACAATGCTGACAAATATATAAAATACAACAAACTATCGGACGGAAATTGACAATTTATAATGACAATTTAATAAATTGACAATCTGTTTAGTATGTCCCGACCCTCGCGATAAAGCATTTTCTTTACATGTAATGTGTTTAACTTCGTCTTACTTGGCCAGTTAACTTTTAATTACTTTAAAATGCACCTTTTGAATAACCAGTTGTGTTTATATTTAATACTTTCATTGTCTTTGTAAACAAATATACGCAGGGGCGGATTAGCCCAGCGGGCTACCAGGCCCCCAGTTTTGTACAAAAAATGGGCCCCTAGTTTTGTACTAAAATAGATTTTAGTTCAATGGGGAAGAAGCTTATCCTTGGCCTTGAATTTTTATCAAGGGCCTGGAAATAGCTTGAACGCTCGCAGGCAGGAAACCATGGCAATAACGATTACATAATTATATGAATGACGCCAGTCGATCGTATTAAATTTGTATTTCAATAATTTAAATGAACTTTTACTGAAAAATATATTAAAAACATGCCAAGGAAAGACTTTTATTGCGGTGAAGCATAAATTGCAAGCTATATACAGTATGATAATATGAAATCTAATATTTGGTAAGGATTATCTTTATATAACAATACAAAAAAGAAATATAATTTTTCTTTAACTTAATTATAATTCGAGTCACAGAAAGAGAAAATTCGCTGATATTCCGCTTGGTCATGACGTCACCAGGCGGGGGCCTTTTACGTTAAAGCCCGATAACACCGATGTTGCTTATCCGCCCCTGAATATACGCCATACATATGTACGCCAAAAACTGAGCTTGTACACCGGACTTGCCGGCAATGATCATCGTTCAGCATTGTTCGCACTCAAAACAAATCTCTTCATCGAGAAATATATGCAATATATTACTGGTGTATCGTTTTTCAGATTGTATTTCAAGTCTTTCAAACCTTTGTATGCCCCGAAGGAAATCTTGATTCTTGATCTGGAATTTTAAAATTTTTGTGTTGTTATTTTAAACGCATGCTAATTATCAATTAAACAATGAAATAGCTTCATTTGTCATAAATTATTCAAATAAAGCACTGTCCAATCAGAGGCCGGTCCCCAAATCTGGGAACTATCCACGTGACCTGAACAAGGATTATGCATCCAACTCACAGACGTTCTCTCGCGCGTTTTGTCGAGAGTAACGGCTGTACACAGGCTATCAAATCTGATACGTAGTAATTATGCTGTAAATAAATTCCAGACTAAATGTTGATTTTATACAGGGTGTATGAAAACAAAGGTAATCGAACTTCAGCGCGTTATTAACTGTATGTGAACTGCTCTGCGTCCAAACGCGACTATTTCGTCTTCGTAAGATCAGGCTTTTAGCTGTTGAATGATATGTTTTGCATGTCAAATGGATAAAAAATGAACAAATACGAATCCGATAAAAAATGTTAGTCAGAATCGCATATTTTCACCGTTGAGAATTGGGTCTAAAACCATTGAAAATTAACCCGAAAAATAAACCATTTTTTGACAATATCATATTCTGTCATATAGTAAGCTAATATAAAAATACAAAACTATGTGAGCGTGGGATGCTTGTGATTACTGGTTATCTGCAAGGATTGATGAATATATAGTATGATTTGGGGGAACATCACATTCACAGCGACATGCATGCAGAAACAGTGACGGCGTGTTAAATCAAGTGGGAAAATGGCTAGATTCAGTACCAAACAGGTACATGGGTTGAGATAATTCAGCGATTATGTAATTCGTATTTCAAATCTGGCTGTAAAAATGTGTTTATACAACGTTCAGACAATTCCAACATCGCCATGAAGGACATTTTTGCACCAATGATTGAGTGAAAGCTTTGATTGCCAAATCTTGGCTAAACCTGATCACCAGCCAAGACACACAATTGCCCTGTTGGCAGTCTTGGCCGATGTTGGGTTGACAATATTGCCTTGAACGTTTCATTTTATACACGCATCTGGATTTTAAAAAGTACCTGAGTATTGCCTTTGCATCTAAACTTGGTCAGAGCCTTAGACTCTAAGATCTTTGGCATTTTGACCGCTGTAAATACAAGCGTCGATCGGGCATAAATGATTGTGTAGAAACTACTTTTGTTTTGCTTTACTTTTCTCAACTTGATTTAAAAAAAAATTGAACGCAGATCGAGACCGAAGATGTTGCGAATGGCGCAATCTAATTCGGCCTGCATTTAGCACTTGTTGGAACTGAATAAGTATATGTTATTTTGAGGCAACGAGGGGATAAATTATGTGATTTATTCACCGAGTCGCGAAGCTCCGAGGTGAATAAACACATATCCCCGAGATGCCTCAAAATAACGTACTTACAGTGGTTTCAAAACGTTTCATAGTAGACGTTGAGTTGGGAAGAGTCGGAGTTGCAACCAAAGACCGAACTTCGCAACTTGGGGGATTGGGAAGGCGTGCTTCCAGAAAATTTTGGACTTATAGACTCTAGAAGATGCATTTTCCAGCATTTATTTTTGAGACACAAAAAAATCATATTTTAAATGTCTAAAAGACTGTTAAATTTATGTTCTTATAATTAATGCCTATAACAACAACGTCCAATAACAATAGCGATCACATCTCCGCTAGCTTTCGTTGTCGTTTTCCCGCCATTTTGTTTTTGTTCTTGGAGACGAATGTGACATCTTACATAAAGTACAATCTGTTAAAAACCGCTACCAAGAAAACCTCTGTGCCTGTCCTCAACGCGAAAGAGACTTATCAAAGCTTCTAATCTGTGACTGTGGCTATGTTTCGACGAAATTCCAGGGGAAATACACGCTTGTTTGCTCACAAATTAACGTTTTGTAAACACTTTAATATTTTAACAGAATTCATAGTTACTCACAAAAGAGAAAGTAGCCGTCGCAAATGGAAGAGTTGCAGTCGGATGCGACGGGTGACGGCTTATTTTGAAACCACTGACTTATTTTTCACATTGCGAGGTCGCGTTAATGAGTCAGAATAGAAATAATTCTTAATGCCATATTGCCTTTGTTTAACAGTACTTAAGTTTAATCTGGTTTATACCAGTGAACGGCCAATTTAAGAAAAAAATCGGCGGTGGTCGGTGGATAGTGCTATCCGACTTTCGTACAACTGGGACCCATGCTCTTATTGCTGTCAAAAAACTGATAAAAACTGTAAAATTAAAGCGAAAGATGTAATATTTAACTGTACTTATTACAAAAAGTGCAGAAATCGATCTACGTTACTGTTATATAAACGTGTAGTAAATACATAAACATGCAGTATATTTAAGATAAAAGTTCTAAAGGCTGAAATCGTCAAATTATAATCAAAACAGTTTTTTGTCCTTTGAGCGATCTAAATCTTAGTAGTTCACAGCTCATACTTATTGCAAACATTACTTATAGGCAATTTTATTTAAACTAAGAACTCAATTTTCAAATTGCGAGAGCTTTTGTTCATTTTTTCTTAAGCCATTCTCTGCTTTCTCTATCCAAAGGCTTGCCGTTTTGAAATGCACGTAAATTGATTCTTGGGTACGTTCTGCTGTTCTTCTTCGTAATCCAGAGATTTCTTCAGTTTGCGGTATGCAGATTCATCGTTATCGTTGTGGTTAAAGCTGTTGAAATATTCAAATTTGTCATTTTCAAATTCGTTCGGTAGTTGTACTTCGTCAGCTGCAATCAAGTGGTTTGCTGGACATACATGATTGCCCTCTCTTTCAAGAAAGTCGTCAACGCTGATGCGAACTTCCTTAGTTGGTTTCATAAATTGTGGTGGAGGAGGATTTGCACATTCTGGCAATTCTTTTATGACAAGTCCCATTCCTAATATCAGATGATGGTCAGTATGGCAATGCATTAACCACGATCCTGGATTATGTGCCACGAACTCAATGGCAACATAACCACTAGCTGGGACGATAATTGTGTCTTTCCGGATTGATGTTTTGTTCACTGGTTTGATTGCAGATGGTCTTCCGTTCCTCCACTTTCCAAAACCACACGCTGGTACGTCAACATCATCATTTACTTTCTGAATAATTCCTTCATCAGAATATTCTGGATAGGCAATTTCTTTCACCCAAAATGATCGGTCGTGCAGATGAATGGGATGTGTTCCGAGCTTTGTGATTAGCTGAGTTCTATCGTCTCGCGGAAGTGAGGAGAGCACAAATTCTATTGGTTTCGACTTGTGTTCTTTATGCACAGAATCTGTGTGTGGGCATCTTCTACAGTCCGTAGTCGTCCGATAAGGACATTCATCTTTTACAGGATTTTTTCCACTCATGATCACGGGAAAGGGAGTATTGGGGAACGTAAATCGAATGTTATTAACCCTTGCTGCAACTTCATTAGGAACAGTAGTGTTGAAAGCATGGTTGAAAAACTTCGTGCTTGCTGGCGTTGTATCCTCGGAAAGCTCGTCGTCCGGAGTTGGATCGAGAAAACTAAGAGGATGGTACACGTCGTTGCATTTATAAGATGGAGCGTTTGTAATATTTTCATGAGCCGCCGGATAAAAAGCGAAAGGACAATTCAATGCTATGCAACCTTTAATACACTGTTTTGAATCCTTTGGTACCTTTCCAGTCGTGTCTGTTCCTGAAGTGGAGTATTTCAGATATGCAAAGCCAAAGCGTGAAGGTTGGCTGTGGTTTTCGCAATGCACATCGACAGACTCGATTCTAATTGGATAAACAGTTCCCAAAGGAACATCGTCACGTGCCTTCAAAATAAAGTCGTAACGCTCGCCCGCATGCACATGCACAATGTCAGTTTCAAATTCTGTAAGATATCCGTCCGTAGCAACCACAAACAATTTATGACTGTCGATAGAAACACGAAGGACAGTTTCTTCCATGGCTCCAACGACTCGAAAACGATGATAATTTCCAGGAGATACAGCGAAGGATGGTTCCTGAAAATTATAATTTATATTATGAGATTCATCAATAATAAATGAGCTTTGCAACGTAAGTTCACACATACAGGGCTGTTATATTAGTATAAGCACTTCTTTGACGGATGTATTGCCTGAGTTTGGGGGAAATGAAGTTGAGCAAATTACAAACGAGCTAAATACTTCGAAATATTTTCCAACCCCTGCTCCTCCTCCCCGGAACGGAAATTTTTGTCTTTCGGCTCCCCAAATTTTTTCCCTCTAATTCCGGCGCCCATATGACGAGTTGAGGTTTATAACGGGATTAATTAGCATTTTGTTACATAGTATTTTAAACAGGAAGATTAATGCTTTATCAGACATAAAACACGACCCGCCAGGCGGGTGTTTTATACCTAATGAAGCAGGGACTGCGAGTGATTTAACGTGTGTGAAAAAAAAACCATCGTATATGCGTTCTGTGTTCATTGACCTCTTAAGCGAAGGACAAGTCACTGATTTCAATCACGTACACCTTCAGAAAAATCACAAAAATTACAAAACAAATCACAAAAATAAAAAATCGCCACATAAACAAGAAAAAATGAAAGTAAAATTCACTAAAAAATCACAAAAAATAGAAAAATCACAAAAATAATTGTATGATTTTATGGTCTCTTACACTTATTAAGAATGATTTGACCCTCGGCCTTGCTCTTTAACACAACATTTTTTGGTTTACATATACAGTACTATTGTTCAAAAACTCAAATTGTAAACGTTACCTGTGGAGAACCACCGTTTTTGTCTATTGTTTGATCTAGTTTTATTCAGTTAATTTGAAATGAATACACTTTAAGGTCGACAGTAGCAGTGCTGGTCCCATCAGGTGAACACTGATCAGATCCTAGTGGTTTCTTCATATGTTCTGTGATAGCCATCATATGGTATCGATTGTCTTGTATATTATTATTCCCCATTCTCGAGGACAACATCCTGACCACTCTATCTTCCTCTTTTACGATCAAAGCACCAAAAATGCCTTCATCTCTCTGTGTTCCGACGTGAGAATGGTACCAATTGGTTCCTGGGGGATGAGCTCGGAGAATATATCTAACATAAATACAGTATATACAGTATGAGCGCCCGTGTTGTCTCAGATATACAAGAGAGTTTGGGCACAGGTTATGTATATATACCAGATGTGTAACGATCTCAACTAAAAGCACACACGAGTGACAGGGCAATTTTAACATATAGATTGGAGGGGGAGGAGGCCAATTTTGCCCCCCCCCCACATTAGTTCCTTTCAGGTCATATATCAGTGCCGTAGCCAGAATGATAATTCGGGGGAGGGGGCACATATTCATATATTCGTGTTCACATACCACAAAAACAATTGATTTCAAAAGAAATTAATAAAGCAGAACACGAATATATGAATATGTGCCCCCCCCCCAATTATCGTTCTGGCTGCGGCACTGTGACATATATTGATTCATATGTTGTACATTGAATGTTTTGATACTACTTTTGGTAAAATAATAAAGTTTGTATTTTTTGTGCATTTTCCTTATTTTTGTCTGAAATACAAACCTTAGAACAAGTTTGATGGCTCAGAATGCAGGGAATGGCGTTTTCGGACTACTGATTTTAAAAAATTTTCCGGGAGACATACCCCCCGACTCCTTTTCCCCCCTATGGGCATGCGTGGCATTGCGAACACAACCGGAATTTCTAATTCGTTCCGCTGATGGGAGGTCCCATTATGCCAACCCCCCCCCCCCACTCGAAATCCTTAATGATCCATGAGTGACAACAGATGAATGAATGAATGAATGAATAGTTTGTTTAATAAAAACATCATCTGGCAGTCAGAAGACTGAATTACATGACGTTAAGTGTTACAAGGTTATAAATAGTAAAAAATTCTATATTACAATGCAATTTAAAAATTGTTAATATATACTATATATCATATACTTAAATGTACTAATCTATATGAGTTAAAAATTCTAAAATGTTCAAGGAACATCTAATTTGTAATGTTTCTTAGCATAAAAGTTGATAAAGGAGTTTCCGAAACGATTTGTATTTGCTGGTAAAACTTCAAAAGATCTTTCTTTTCGTAATTCTCTATTGCCTGCTTTGGATGGTAAAAGTTTGGCAAGTTTATGATCATCATTTAAAACAATGTCGTTGAAGAGATTATTGGATAGATACTCCCGTCTGTTTTCAAGAGTGGAAATACCAGCGATGTTAAGAGCCTCGTCGTAAGACAATTCATAGAATATTATTTTCATTGCTCGCTTCTGTATACGTTCAATGTTTTTTTCAAGATTTCGTGGCGGGGAACTATGGAATAATTGGCACGCATATTCGAGGACAGACCTTATACAGCTGCAAAAAAATTTGACCAAATCTGCCGAAGCGGCATCAGCACGTTTGAGTTCCCTCAACAAATATAAATGTTTAGCTGCTTTGGAGACAATTGAATTTACATGGTCTATCCATTTAAGGTCATTTCTTAATATAACTCCAAGCGATTTGATACTTGTCACTCTTTCCAAATTTCGGTCACCAATACGTATAGGTTCAAAAACAGGTGGTAATCGTGAAAAGGATATTACCATTTCTTTGCATTTAAATGGGTTTAGTTGAAAGGAATTGTCCGTAGACCAAGTAGTAATATCATCGATATCCATTTGTAAAGTACTTTGTTCGTTTTTTTCAACAATTTCAGAGACCGTAGTATCGTCGGCAAATTTCCACATTTCTGAAAGGTGATTATGTAACACAAGGTCATTTATCATGGCTAAGAATAGCCAAGGCCCAAGTCGTGTGCCTTGAGGGACACCAGCTGGAACTTGGAGCCAGTCTGAGAAACAATTATCACTTAGTTTGACCCTTTGCCATCTATTACGTAAAAAGTCAATAATCCAGTTAACCACACAGGGCTTAATACCAAGGCTGAATAATTTCGCAACTAATGTGGTGTGATCCACCATGTCAAATGCTTTTTTATAGTCAAGAAATACAGTGCGAACAGATGAACCACTTCCATCTGTTGCACTCAACAAACAATGGAACATCGATATCAAGGCAAGTACAGTGGAAGAATTTGGAATAAAGCCAAATTGTTGGGGATCAACAACCTTTAACAGAGTTGGTTTTACTTCTCTTTCGATTACAAGACGTTCCGCTATCTTTGATAGAGTGGAAGTTAAGGAAATAGGTCGTAATTCCCTTTCCAAGTCTTTGACAGTAGATGTTTTTGGTAAGGGGACCACATCGGCCAGCTTCCAAATTTGAGGGACTTTACAGCTTTGAAAGGAAGAATTGATTATATTTGCAACTGGTGAGGCGAGAATATCCGAATAGGTTTTTAAAACCCAATTGGAAATACCGTCAGGGCCACTGGAACGCGATGTATTAATTTCTTGCAATTTTCTAGCTATAGTTGACTCGGTCACAATAATAGGCTGAACCACGACTGACCACGGATGGACTACGAGTGACCACGAGTGATGAAAAGCCGTTTCGGAACAAATTGTTTTCGTACATGTGGTTTTCATTAATATAAACGCCCCCAGGTTCTTTTCAAACTTGCCACTTACGTTTACAAGTTTGAAAATTGGCCGTGAACTTCTCAACGAAGTTCGCAGGTACATTCAATATTAAACTTTGCTTGTAAACAAATTTTCATAGCAATGATTATAATTAACCAATTCAATTGGTATATTGGACCAAGAACTTTTCGCTGAATTGTTCATTTCAACTTGAACTATGAACATTTGTTACAATAGAAGTTCAAATGTTGAAATGAACTTGCGAACTTCGTTGCGAAGTTCACGCCCAATTTCCGATCTTGGAAATTTTTTTTGGCATGTTTGCAACGAAATTGAGAAATTGACAGTGTTAAGAATGTCCAGAACCTGGTATATAACCATATATATATATATATATATATATATATATATATATATATATATATATATATATATATATATATATATATATATATATATATATATTTGAGGTAAGCGAAATTCTACATTTGCTCTATCTTTATGATATTGAGCACTCTTTGCGTTTCGTATACACAAACCTACTCGTATATATATATATATATATATATATATATATATATATATATATATATATATATATATATATATATATATATAAAAGTAAGAAAAATGCAGCTTTCTCGACCCAGTTGAACTTTTAGTGAATGGTAAAATCCTGTTTCACTGCTGAACATCTTAAGGACCCATACTGTGATAAGTAAAAAATGTTACAAAGTGTGTCGTGTCGTGTTGTGTTGTGTTAAAATGTTAAAATAAAATGAATACTAGCCAATTGGTTGATTAATTTTTGGACGCCCAATGTATAGAAATTGATAACGTTCGTGGATGAATGTTTCAAGACGGAAAAGGTAAACTATATAACCAATATCAAATCATAAAATACCAATAATAGATGAAATATACCTGAATTTTCCGCCATTAGGAGGTATAGGCCACTGCGTGATCATTCCAACACCATCAATTCAAGGCATATTGTCCTGGTGCATGCCATGCCAATGTACTGAAGTATTCTCATCAGCGAGATTATTGATAACATCAACTACTAATATTTGTTCTTGGTTTATGATAATAGTAGGACCAATTCGTCCGCCATTGACGCTGAAAACACTGCCGGCATCCCCTCTCTTGGCGACGCCGGCGTTTCTGGTTATTTTTATCTGTATATAACATTCTCCCCTGTTTCCACAGTCACACACTGAAGGATGGTAATCCGTTTGAGGAGAACATAGGACGTAGTCTACATTGTCGAAACATGATGCAGGCTCTTCGGGTGACTGTGTTGTTGGCGGCGCTGGTGGCGGTGCTGGTGGCAGTACTGGTGGCGGTGCTGGTGGCCTTCTGTCATGATTCCCGTGTTCCAAATTACCATGGTTACCATGTCGCCAATTACCATGATGACCATGTTGCAAATTACCACGACCCCCGTTTTGCCAATTACCACGACTCTCATGTTGCAAATTACCACGACCCCCGTGTTGCCAATTACCACGACCTCCATGTTGCCAATCACCACGACTCTCATGTTGCCAATTGCCACGATCCCCATGTTGCCAATAACCACGACCACCTGACAGTGTTTTAAATATGATAATTAGTTAGGGAAGAGTACGCCAAATATACGTTTCTGCGGCCAACACGGCGTCAATACAATATCACGGTCAAAACTCACACGTGTGAGCTCACCATGAACGGACGTGTTCCTTAGAACTACGCTAAATCATTTCAAGGGCCACATTACTGAATATTTTATTACTTTAACTATTTTGACTGTGTTAGGGTTTGGCTAACTAAAGTGCTTAAGATCTTAGTGTCTTCGTCTCGGAGTTTGCTTGGTCGGGAGACTACGAGTCGCTTAAACAGTTCTTTAGCGTCGACTTAAATCTACGCGGAACATGGAACCAGCTAGTGGTGAGAAGAAAGTATTCGAGACAGGCGAGACGATGATCTCCTGGAGGAAAAGTAAAAATCTGTTGACTATCGACAGCGTAGATGTGAGCATAACTAAGCAACTATTTTTCCCTAAAGGCTGCGAGCAGATTTATCAAATTAACTCTGCTGATGTTCTTGAATCTCTTGGTTGGGTAACGTTAGAAAGAAGAAGACAGAAGATGAAATGAATTTTTCTGTACAGAATTTTAAATGTTACACTGCTCCTAATATGAACGAGTCACTGATCAGAAGTAGTTTAATGCAGGTTAACAACTATAATCTTATAGCGACAGTGATACTGATGCACGTCCAAAACCGAGAAGCGATTTCCTGAAAAAAGCTTTAACAAAACTTTGGAACAGCCTTTCTCCGGAGACGAAAGAGGTTCAAATTATTTATTCCTTTAAAGTGCCTATGACACGAAATTTCACCCCAAATGTTTATGATTGCATTGTAAAGATCACTTAAAATAACTTAATAATTTCTTTTATAGAATTTTGATAACTTGCTTCCTTTGCAAGATGTTCAACTTTGTTTCATATGCAAATATCACCGGTGTGACATCACATAGCATAATGAGATTTTGAAAACGCAATATTTTACCTTGATAAAATATTTTTACAAACAAATACAGAGGGTAATGACCAGTTATGAAACAAATACATATACAAGGGCAATTTTTAAGTTTTTTAGATACGTATTCGTCAAGAAAACTATACTTTTCTGAAAACTCATTATGTGATGTGATGTCACACCGGTGATATTTGCATACGAAACAAAGTTGAATATCTTGCAAAGGAAGCAAGTTACCAAAATTCTATAAAAGAAATTATTAAGTCATTTTAAGTGATCTTTACAATGCAACCATAAACCTTTGGGGTGAAATTTCGTGTCATAGGCACTTTAAAATTATGAATATCTATATCAGTTATTAATATTAATGCTCATGTATGGGACACGCCTACTTTAAGTATATTTGTACATTTGTAAATATTTTATTATGGATTGTGACGCCGCTCATGCAAATCAACACCTGTTGACGAGGCTAGCGTCGTTATTCGTTAAGTAATATTTCAAATCCGAGTTAGTGTTTTAGACGTGGTTTCTAAATACAAGTGCCATGAACAATGGCGAAGCGCAGCTGAGCCATTATTCATGGCACTGGGGATTTGGAAGCCAAGTTTAAAACACTAACGAGGATTTGAAATTGCTTCTCACACATCATTAGATATTCATAGCAATGAGGAATGAAATTATTAGATATTCAAAAAAGTGAGCGTGGGAGTTAACGATTGCATTCGCTTGAAAGTTTGCATGAAGTGTAACAAAGCATTCAGCTCGCTTCGTCGTGAACAGATGATTTTTGTTGGTAAAAGGGCATGGCATCTTCTTATTAGAAAAAGCAGTTTCGATCGACAACCGGAAAGTGTTGAGCACAGTATTGAAAATGTAAAGAAAGCTATGAACTCGCTGACAAGGATGGAGATCCGTATCCCGAAAAAACAATATATCAGATTGTGTGCGAGGACAGAAACTTCAAAGCTTCCGACGTAAGTGGCCTTTCTATATGGATCTTTATTCTATGTCCTGGTCTAGACGGGGTATCCGTTCGGATAAAGCTGATTTTCCCTTGTCTAAAGTTGAAACAGCCTTTTGATGTTCTTTAAGCCTTGTACCAAACTGCCTTTTAGACTGACCCAAATACTCTTTCTCGCAGTCATCGCGTGGTAAAGAATATACAGCATGAGTTTTCTCATTTGTTTTAACAGGATCTTTCAATTTATCATGGTCTTGCTTTCCCAGGTGGTGGTGTGTGGTGGAGTGTGGTGGAGTGTGGTGAAGTGTGGTGGAGTGTGGTGGAGTGTGGTGGAGTGTGGTGGAGTGTGGTGGAGTGTGGTGGAGTGTGGTGAAGTGAGGTTGCACTAATTAATTAACATACGTCACAATTATATGCAATGGAGTGTGAGGTAGTGGAGTTTGAGGTGGTGGATGTCCACCACCTCATTTATAATTAATATTCATACAAATGAGGGTGAGGTAATTAATATTCATACAAATGAGTGCGCGTAGTGACGTCATCATTAGTATACAATGCGTCATAATTATATGCAATGACGTCACGCGGGCAAGTTTGGACGAAATTGGACAAAACTTGCTGAGTAGGCATTTTTTAGCGTCGCTCTACGTGTGTAATGCAATAGAGGGAATAAGATTGGCTTACTATGAATAGTTCAAGTCCCTCACATGGCAAAATTGGTATTTTGTTATCTTTATATATCCGTATCTTTGTTCGGAAGAGATAAATTTCCACAGGTATATTGAAGGATTTTTCGTATGTTTACAAAATTATAGCGAGAAATCTATTCGTCACAGAAATCAAGACATGTTTTAAACAGAACTAAACAGTTGCTAATCCCGGGTTGTCAACGTCGTTGTTAAGGTCAATATTTGAATGTTGTTCAACATTATTTAGCAAACCTTCTACATACATATATACTGTTAAGTCAGATCATAAGTAAGCTTATCAAGGATATAAGTTAGAATTGGAACGCTTTGGTGCATGCATATATTAACGTACAAAATATTTGTACACTAATTAGGCGGGCGGGTTAGACAAATCGCGCGAGCAGAAAGAGTGGGGTGTGTAGGCAAAAGTTTGCACAAGATTTCAGTTTTAAAATACATTTATTTCTTCAAAACGTTTTACAAAATTTAGTACTGTCTACTTCTAAGAGCATAACGTTTGGGTGTTTTTATTCTATTTTTAAAGAGTTCCCGTATCCTTGTCTATCTTTGGGGGATAACTTTGGTACTAGCCCGGGTTTGATAAGAATATTTTTTGATCTGTCGCAATAAACATGTTTTAAACTTTGCAAATGTTGTGTTGTTATCCGTTGCTAAGTATTTAGTCAACAAGGAGATAGTTAAGGGATTAGGCGACTAAACATTTACATAACTAAGTGTATTCCATTGGATAGATAGGGATTATTTGTTACGCAGGTGTTTGCCTTAAAACCAGGCGCGAGGCTTTGCGGTATAAGTATTAGGCAAAAATTGTTATTGTAATGATTTAATCTTATCATTCAATGATTCACTCTTACGATTCAATGATTCAATCTTATGATTCAATGATTCACTCTATGATTCAATGATTCAATCTTATGATTCAATGATTCACTCTATGATTCAATGATTCAATCTTATGATTCAATGATTCAATCTTATGATTCAATAATTCAATCTTATGAATCATTGAATCATAGAGTGAATCATTGAATCATAAGATTGAATCATTGAATCATAAGATTGAATCGTTGAAACATAAGATTGAATCATTGAATCATAGAATGAATCATTGAATCATAGAGTGAATCATTGAATTATAAGATTGAATCATTGAATCATAAGATTTAATCATTGAATCATAAGATTGAATCATTCAATCATAGAGTGAATCATTGAATCATAAGATTGAATCATTGAATCATAAGATTGAATCATTGAAACATAAGATTGAATCATTGAATTATAGAGTGAATCATTGAATCGTAGAGTGAAACATTGAATTATAAGATTGAATCATTGAATTAATCATAAGATTGAATCATTGAATCACAGAGTGAATCATTGAATCATAGAGTGAATTATTGAATCATAAAATTGAATCATTGAATCATAGAGTGAATCATTGAATCATAAGATTGAATCATTGAATCATAAGATTGAATTATTGAAACATAAGATTGAATCATTGAATTATAGAGTGAATCATTGAATCGTAGAGTGAATCATTGAATTATAAGATTGAATCATTGAATTAATCATAAGATTTAATCATTGAATCATAAGATTGAATCATTGAATCACAGAGTGAATCATTTAATCATAGAGTGAATCATTGAATCATAAGATTGAATAATTGAATCATAGAGTGAATCATTGAATCATAAGATCGAATCATTGAATCATAAGATTGAATCATTGAATCATAGAGTGAATCATTGAATCATAGAGTGAATCATTGAATTATAAGATCGAATCATGGAATCATAAGATTGAATCATTGAATCATAAGATTGAATCATTGAATTATAGAGTGAATTATTGAATCATAGAGTGAATCATTGAATTATAAGATCGAATCATGGAATCATAAGATTGAATAATTGAATCATAAGATTGAATCATTGAATCATAGAGTGAATCATTGAATCATAGAGTGAATCATTGAATCATAAGATCGAATCATTGAATCATAAGATTGAATCATTGAAACATAAGATTGAATCATTGAATTATAGAGTGAATCATTGAATCATAGAGTGAATCATTGAATTATAAGATTGAATCATTGAATTAAACATAAGATTTAATCATTGAATCATAAGATTGAATCATTGAATCACAGAGTGAATCATTGAATCATAGAATGAATCATTGAATCATAAAATTGAATCATTGAATCATAGAGTGAATCATTGAATCATAAGATTGAATCATTGAATCATAAGATTGAATCATTGAAACATAAGATTGAATCATTGAATTATAGAGTGAATCATTGAATCGTAAAGTGAATCATTGAATTATAAGATTTAATCATTGAATTAATCATAAGATTTAATCATTGAATCATAA